TTTATCTCCTTCTCCAGTACTACTTACAGCTAAGGAAAAACTATGGATAACAGTGGGAGACTTTAGAAAATACAATTCTAGGGCAGTGGAACAAAAAAGTTCAATGTATGATGCAATCATAGATCCACTAGGGATCTTGACTAGTTCTTCCTGAGTTTGGTAAAAAATAGTATACATCCCAACATTCTTACAATGCAGTCTTCTAACTCTAACTCTATGTACGAAATTAATACAAGGATGTGAAAAATAGAAGTGGTTTCTTAAAATGTGAATTACTGGATTTATCTTTTGACAGTGAACAGTCAGTTTGTACAACTAGCCATTATATAGATGTGCGAAAGAATTTTTATTTCACTTATCTTTGCAAGGCAAAGAACAAAGGAACATTGGACACTTAAATTCAGTTTGAATGGTAATAAAAGTTATTTTTAAAATATATATTTGTTGCATTACAGCATACAGTATGTATTTTATATGCAGCATTTTTAATCTACATTTTATGAAGATAACTTCTTATTATGAAGATATACTTATATGTTTAAGAATTTGTGTCGATTATTCCATTAATGTTTACTGCATGTGTTTTGCACGGTATACTATAACAAAAGCATCCGTTTCCCCAAGTAATTAAATCATAATATTGGTTAATGGCAAAATTGGACATCAATTGAACACTTTTGATAATGATTAATTCATTCAGTGATTAATTACAACTTTCTGCCGTAATTAAAGTTCATCAAATAGTTCAATTATTAAAAGTTATTAAGTAGTGTTCCAAACTTATCTATTGTAAAACTCGATTACAAGGGGAGTTTTCTAGACATTTTTATCAGACACTCACAGCATTAGCATGCTATCATGGACACCTTTTTCAGGTTGATATATTTTTATTCTCTTATCAATATTATATGACAATTTTTTTCTCTTTTTTAGGAAACAGTCCATATTTATGATATGGGTTTGATATTTAATCCCTGTTTTTAGCAAGTATTAGGGCTATGCAAATCCTTTCAAAGTGATCGTGCAGAAGCTCATACAAGCACATCTCTTTGAAACATTGAAGCAGCCATATGCAAATTGGTAGAACTGCCTCATTAACTGAATGCACCGACAAACAGTAACAGATTATGAAGCAACTGTGCAAGCGTGGAAAAAGATACAGCTGCTTTAATGATCTTAAGAAAGGAGGTATTTTTAATGCACATCTGCTTGTATAGTGCAAATCCTTTCTTTCAAAGGATTTGCACAGTTGAATAGGATAGATAGAATAGAATTTTTTATTGGCCAAGTGTGATTGGATACACAAGGAAATTGTCTTGGTGCATATGCTCTCAGTGTACATAAAAGAAAAGATACGTTCATCAAGAATCATAAGGTACAACACTTAATGATAGTCATAGGGTACAAGTAAGCAATCAGGAAACAATATCAATATAAATCATAAGGATACAAGCAACAAAGTTATAGTCATACAGTCATGACTGGAAGGAGATGGGTGGTGGGAACAATGAGAAGATTAATAGTAGTGCAGACTTAGTAAATAGTTTGACATTGTTGAGGGAATTATTTGTTTAGCAGAGTGATGGCGTTCGGGGGAAAAATTGTTCTTGTGTCTAGTTGTTCTGGTGTGCAGTGCTCTATACCATCGTTTTGAGGGTAGGAGTTGAAACAGTTTATGTCCAGGATGTGAGGGATCTGTAAATATTTTCACAGCCCTCTTTTTGACTCGTGCACTATACAGGTCCTCAATGGAAGGCAGATTGGTAGTAATTGTTTTTTCTGCAGTTCTAATTATCCTCTGAAGTCTGTCTGTCTTGTTGCATTGTAGAACCCAACCAGACAGTTATAGAGGTGCAGATGACAGACTCAATAATTCCTCTGTAGAATTATACCAGCAGCTCCTTGGGCAGTTTGAGCTTTCTGAGTTGTAGTAGTTCTCAGAGTTGTCTTTTCCACAGCTGCTCACAGAGGTAATTATCTACATTCAGTTTGTGTCTGCTGCTGAGTTAAGATGTAAGAGTGATGATACATAAACAAATATATACAGCATCTCTCCTCAAAGTCATGACACTGAGTTTAATAGTCAATAGTGAGTTGGAAATATTTATGCAAGATTTTTGCTGGTAATTTCATCAGTAAAATATACCAAGATATGCCTTGGAGGCGAACTTTGACAGCTTTTGATGCTTTGCAAAATTACAATTTAGTTACCAGTCACCCAGAACCATCTTTACTGTATATTCTAATTGGCTAGTGGGCATTTCTCCAACTGTCCCAGTTGCCTTGAAAGAGTAGCATCCTAGACACTTAGCATCTAGTATTGCCATTAGGTACTTCATGTCCTTGGACCATGCTCTTCCAACATTCAAGACATCAGGGAATAAGACAATCTGCTTCTCCAGAGTAAGCAGTGAGTGTAAACAAAATATTCTAGTCTAAGATAGGAATGAATCACTTATTTTTCATCATCAGTGCAAGTTTCACTTTATACTCTTGATACAGTTCTACAGAGGAATTATTGAGTCTGTCATCTGCACTTCTATAACTGTCTGGTTTGGTTCTGCAACCCAACAAGACAGACACAGATTTCAGAGGATAATTAGAACTGCAGAGAAAACAAGAAAAAGACATTTTACTTTCATCAAATTAGAGGTGCAAACTCTTGAGTGGACTGCTGAAATCCTTTCCCCAAATTAGACATGGAATGATGTGTAAAGTGTGGTAAAGGGAACATCTGAACTTGATATGACTGAGTATTTTCATATCAGAAGAAAAATGTTTAAGGAGTTCAAATCTATTTTCAAGTTCGAAAACTTAACATCTCATTTAAAGGCAGCAAAAATGTTGTCAGGTTCACTGAGGTTTGTTGCACCTTTTGTAATGCAGATATGATAATAAGCAACATGTAGTAAATTCAAGGTGGGGTTGGCTATTCATTGCACAAATATGCAAATAGGAAAAATCAGTTTTGGGGAAGTATAAATACCTTGGTACAGAAGTCACTATTCATTTTATTTATTTATTTGTCAAAAATGTATTAGGTAATAAATATAAATATAAGCATGAATTGAATACATAAAATAGATATGAATAGAGGAAACATTAGGACAGGGATGGTAGGCACGCTGGTGCTTTTATGCATGGCCTTACAGACCTCTTAGGAATGGGGTGAGTCTTAAATTAAAATGTTGGGGGTTTTGGGATGAGACCACAGAGTCAGGTAGTGCATTCCAGGCATTGACCACTCTGTTGCTGTGACAAACTATGACTTTTTGAACATTCACATTGATGTCTACAGAGTTTCCAAGGAAATCTGTCATTAAAAATGGACAACAGAAAACTCCACAGTGCCTTGAAACATGTTTCCTAGATCTTAATTGTGCTTTTCAGTTGAAAAGGTATCTAGGAACAAACTGTGGAGCACATTCTATTATTCACCGCAAACCAAAGAAAAACCACACAGCAGCCAGTGTAGATTCAATCCTGTGTTGCTGAAGCTCCTGAACATGTACTGTTAGAACAAAAAAAAATAAATGCTGTAATCTTCTTTTCATGCAGCATTTTATTCTTTTGCTAGAAAATTTTTAAAAATGGGTTTACAGCCCATATAGAGGAGACAGGAAAGAGCATCATAAAATATCCTCTGACTTTGACTCTTTGATTAGTAAAAATTCATTTTAAATGTTTGCTACTTTTGTTTTTCCTTATTTTTTCTTTTCTTTTTATTTCTTTTTATTTCTTTTATTTTATTTTTATACCGCCCTTCTCCTGCGGGACTCAGGGCGGTGCACAGCCGAGATAAAACATAACATATAAAATTTAAAAAACAGTTTAAAAACAATTAAATAATTTCAGCCCAAAATTTAAAACAACTCAATTAAAACTGAATTCAATTAAAACTGAGAGGATGGGATCAAGCCAGCCCGGCTAGATGGAATAAGTGTGTTTTCAGGGCCCGACGAAAAATCCGGAGGTCTGATATCGTGCGTATTTCAGGGGGTAGGTCATTCCAGAGGGCAGGTGCTGTCACAGAGAAGGCTCTCCCCCTGGGGGTCGCCAGCCGGCACTGTCTGGCCGACGGCACCCTGAGGAGGCCCTCTCTGTGCGAGCGGACCGGTCGGTGGGAGGCTAAAATTCTAATATGAATTTTTGAATTCATATTAGAATTTGGAAGACTGGCTGCACAATGAAATAATCACTTGTCATTTTGTTGCTATCCTCAACAGCTTCCTAACTGCCCTTATCAGGGATTAGTTTAATTAATATGTTATATGTTAGTCGTACTTTATCCCAACTGACCATAAAATTATCCTGAACATATAATACCTGGATTCCCTAATAATGCTTTTTGATATGGCTTACTATTACAATTATTATTAAACATTTAATTCTCATATGTGTGTGTGTGTGTGTGTGTGTGTGTGTGTGTGTGTGTGTGTGTGTCAGAGGTGGGTTTCAGCAGGTTCTGACCAATTCTGGAGAACCGGTAGCAGAAATTTTGAGTAGTTTGGAGAACTGGTAGTAAAAATTCTGACTGGCCCCGTCCCCATCTATTCTCTGCCTCCAAAGTCCCAGCTGATTGGGAGGCAATGGGGATTTTGCAGTAACCTTCCCTGGATTGGGGAGGGAATGGAGATTTTACAGTATCCTTCCCCTGCCATGCCCACCAAGCCACACCCACAGAACCGGTAGTAAAAAAAATTGAAACCCACCACTGGTGTGTGTATGCACGCGTGCGTATATGTATATGTATATATACGGTCTATATTCATTCAGTTATTCTTATTTATTTACCATTTTTGTAACCCACCCCAATCCAAAGACTTCTGGTATAAGCAACACTGTAGAAACATAATAGCAATTCTGTTTTTCCATGATTTTTGTTTAAAAAGAAAGCAAATTTATATTAATATTCACTGTGTTTTCATTAGGAAACTGTATTAATGCAAAACTTTATGTAAGATGAGATGGGATAAAGATAAAATCCAAGAAAGTTTTACCTATTTGTTTTCTGTACTGATCCATAGGTATTTTTGCAGAAGAGGCATCCTTTCTACCCATTTTTCCGTGTTTATGAACTCTATAGTAAAAGATTAAAAAATGCTTAAGAAACTTCACAGCCATTTTAAATGCAGGTCTCATGCATCAACGTAACTAATCAATCAATAAATTATATACATACAGGAAAAATATAAACAGGACAGAATTTGGTTATGGAGAAAATCATAAAATCTAAAATAGAGTTGAAAAACCTCAAGGCACAGCATAGACTGGTGCTGAAACTAAATCTATCTCTTTCAAGTCACATATGTTACATAGCTTGACAAAATGAAATTTATCCTGATTGTATTTGTATTTTCCAATTGTTTCTTCCTAACATTCCTGAAAGGTCCAGCTCTGTCCTCTTTTTCTCAATGACCCAAGCAACAAGTGCTAGCTTCTTTAAGGTTTTACCAGTCACCTGCCAGCAAATTTCACCCTCCTTAAGAAGAAAAGCATATTTATAAAAGTCCATGACTTATTTTAATCCTCCTTCTCTTGTCAATGGTGGGAGGCAGAACTCTTGTGAAGTTTTAAACAACACAGCGGGTGGGTGGGGGAGTACTAGCAAATTAAGGAGAAATCAACTTGATCTGTAATATTTACAGCCATTCACAACCTCTAAACCATGGAATATCAGATGAATGCCTGCATCAACAAGGCATTTCAACATTATTCTAAAGAATCAGTCCTTCAAAATAACTACACTATAGCTTCTGTGAAAGCTCTAATTATCTTTTAACTCTTCAAAGATACACTAGAGATATTAATAGATTTATCCCCTTTTCTTTGAATTGTGAGCATCATTCATAAACTATTCATAAATCCTGTATGGAACATTTATAATTGCCCCTACTGATTCTGTTTCTCTGTCCATCTGTCTACACACACACACACACAAACACACACGAACTACAGATAATGTAAGTACAAAATCAATCTATCTATCCATCCATCCATCCATCCATCCATCCATCCATCCATACGCACGCACACAATGGAACTACAGATAAACAACATAAATGCATTTTTTTTATTTCATCCCTCTTTATCCTACCTTCAATTTCAGATATGAGGAACAAAAAGAAATAAAAACAGACAATTAGATGAATAGGTATTATACCCAAGTTATAGTTTATTTCATTCATCAGAAAGAGCTAACTTTTTTTAAAAAAAAAATGCTTACTGCAATTTAATATTTGCCACAAAACATCAGCAATGAAAAAAAATTGTTTTAACTTCCAGTAAAATACTTAATGGAACATAATGTCAATGTTATTATTAAAGTAGAAGAAGTTTGGGCTAGTAAGATGAAGCACTTAGAGGTGTATGTGCTTCAAACTGTCACTGATTTTGTAGCAGCCAATACCTCTAAAACTGCTGTGACTTTTCTTTGTTCTTCAGAGCTGCTCAGTAATCATCATTCATTTCAACTGCTTTGATAGTTAGATAGCAAACTCCCAAGAAACCCACTGAGACATTAGCACATGCAGCCACAATGTCTAATAAGACAGCTATTTGCATAAAAGATCAGCCACAATTTAAAATGTCTTGCAATAGATGTGGAAAGGGAATAACAGATCTATATTAGCATGTACAAAACCAAGATTGTTTTCACAATTGAATTCCCAGGGGACCAAAGCTCATCACCTTTCCCTGATTAAAAAAAAAAAAAAATCCTGCAAGTTGCTGTAAGCCTGTTAACTAAAATATGGATTCATAAGGAAAAGAATGTTGATTATTTATTCATCCTGTTGAGGAACAATTTTGTTGTAATCATCATACCAGCTCATGAAATATTTTACAAAGGAAACCATCTCCTCTTTATACAATTAACCCAGCTTCCTTCTTTTTTCCTTCCCTTTTTTTTTAAGAAGAAATGAGTTCAACCCTTATTCTACTGTATGAACATGAGAAAGTCCTAATGATGGCAAATATAGCAGAAGTAAATGGTTTTCTTTACTCTGGCAATGTATAGTGGAAATAAGGGTTTGGTTTGGGATTAAAATATTGCATCAAAATGCCAAAAGAGAAGTACCACCTCCCTTTCCCCACCCTGGCTTTCTAATTTATAAGGAGCAAAGTAGAAGAGCCAGCATCCTTTTTCATAGTGAAACAATTCAGCTACGGCACACTGTCTCCATCTTAACATTTCTACCCACTCATTTCTCAACACAATAAACAAAAGGGAGGGAGGGAGAAGGAAAGAAAGGGGTAACTTTTGAAACAGAACATAACTTTGTAACTTTTGAGGTTACATTCAAAGTCTGATTCAAATATTTGAAAAAGTGACTTTGAAAAAAAAAAGGTAAAATGGATAAAAGCTAATTTCCCCAAAAGAAGCATTCACGTTGAATTTATATTTATAATTTATAACATATAAATGCATCAATTCTGTCTCTTAAGAACCAGAGTTATTAAATAACAGTAAAGTATCCAAAGTATTATGTGAAGCTAAAGCTATAAAACACTAAGAACTTTACCATCAACTTTAAATATTCAGCAGTAGCAAAACTGAATGTAAGATTTGTTCTTCCACATCACAGCCCCATTTTCTGCTGAACCAACTCTATTAGAAACAGTCCTAGATTCCAAGTATTCATCAATGACGTATTTGGAAATAAGTTTGATTTTTGAATTGGGCAAGCACTACCCGGTCTCTGTGTGTAGAAATGCAGTAGAAGTTCATTTGGCTCTTTCTGTAAATCTACATTTGAAAGAAACTTTATCAAAGCACTATGGAATAAGGAATTTTATTTCTGAATTTAGAAAAAAATATGTTCCGGCATTGTGTACTGACGGAATTTGGTAGAAATTGGCAATGCCTTGTTTATGTGTAAACCATTTGTTTTGTTAAATCTGCATTGTTCTTAATTTCCTATACATTTTTTAACCAACATTTACTGTAAGTTTTACCTGAGTAATAACCACATGAACTCTGTATTTATAGAAAATCTTACATAAGGTACCAAGTGGCAAGATTGACCTGTTTAATCAGAGATAAGACAATACGTATTTTTATTAAAGACTGGAAATATCTTATGAACTTTTTATTGAAAACTGGGGGGTGGGCGGGAAATGAACTAGTAATTTGTGGATTTGCAAATTAAAAGTGATTGAACATGGGAAGAAGGAAATTGTGATGAAATTTTAAAAAGGGAGCAGAAGGAATAAGTTTAACTGCTATAAAGAAGATCAGAAATTATTTCTTGATCTTTCTTTTTTTTCTTTTTGAATCTCTGCACACTTTTTGTAGCTATTTTCTTCTTCTTTATTTTTTCTCTATATTGGTTCACATTTCTTTTACTTTTGTAGTATAAGTAATGCTGTATTACTTCTGTGCTACAAGTAAAACGTGTTAGATCCTGTTTCAAGGCTTAGAAATCCATCCAATTTTCATCCAGTATTAGCCAGCCATTATGTATGCACATGTACTTTTCTTCTTCAATCAACTCTCAACAGTAATTATATCCCATCCTTAAATGAAACATTTTTAAATATACCCCAATGGCACTTTTATTAAGTTGTTTATCTCACACTTCTTACACTAGCTCAAAAAGTCTATATTAAGGATTTAGCTAATATTCCAATTTATTAGTGCAATCAATGGATAAACTGATGAACTGCTTAAGGCACAGATCAGCAATAAAAATAATTTCCTTAATTGGATGACCACCCTACTTAAAAACAATGCAAAATACATAATAAATCAAATTGGTCAGTACTTTTCTTTTTGAAAGCATATTCCTCCTGGATTGAGGTTTTTAGAGATAAGTCCCATAGTGAGAAGGACTCCCAAGTATTTACCGTATTTTTCGGAGTATAAGACACTCCAGACTATAAGACGCACCTACCTTTTTTGGTGAGGAAAAGAAGAAAAAGAAATCTCCCTGTGCCTTCAAGCAATTTTCCCTCGTTGCAGCAAACAGCCTGCTTTACTTTCATTTTCATTTTCAGCATAGCTTGATTAGCACAAGGAAAAAAAAATCTGCTCCAGCAATTTACCTCCTTGCAGCAAGCAGCAGAGCCCTGCCAGCTGAGAGCAGAACAGTTGAGAGTCGGGAGGCCGATCCAATCAACTTGTGCTAATTAGACTGTGCTGAAGCTGAAAGGAGCTGTTTTTTCTTGCTGTTTGCTGCAAGGAGGTAACTGCTGCGAGGCAGAGGCCAAAGGGTGGGGACCAGTGGGTGGGCGGAACTACATTCAGTGTATAAGAAACACCTAAATTTTCACCCCCTTTTAAGGGGAAGAAAGGTATGTCTTATAGTTCTAAAAATACGGTAATTCTGAGCTCTGGCCAGTCATACATTCCCTTAATGCAGAAGTTTACAATTTGAGTTCCACAGTGGAATGAACCGAAGAAGCTTCTTGGATGAGAAAAACAAAGAAAGTCCAGCTGCCTTTTGAAAAGCACCTTTGGGACAGTAAGACCTGAGCTGTTGAGATTCTATTGCTCCAGTATGTCTTTAAATGTATAGTTCTAATCCTACATAGGCTTTCTCTTTCCACAAAAGCCCCATTCCAGTGGAACACCTTATTTATTTGAGCTTTTTATTTTATTCATTTGTTTACTATTTATTAAATTTCTAAGCCATACAATTCTAGACAGTCCTGAGCAAAGTCACAAAGTTAGAAAAGCAACAATTCCATAAAGAAAAAACAAAACTATAAAATTACCATCCAAGGGAACAAAACCATCTTTTCCCATCCTCCTTCAGTTCAGTTATTCTGTTATGTTCTGTTCATCAAAAGGGCCCCTCCTTCTATCTTAACCAAAAACCTGGGGAGAGGGAGTCTTTTTAAAGAATGCTTCAATGCAGGTAAGTGTTGCGGCTCCAACCCCCAAGGCCGACTTATCGGAGGAAGAAGGCTCCGAACATGAAGGAGAGGAGTTGGCCAGGCCTCCGTCTCCAGGACCCTCTTCTCTGGCAATGCCTCAGGTGTCTCCCGTAGGAGAAGAGATTGGCCAGGAGCCAGGTATCTCCTCACAGTCGGACAGTGAAGGAGATAAGTCTTGGCTGGATCCATGCCAGCGTCGGA